ACAGCTACATATTTCTACCACTATGAACATAACAACTGTGGACTGTGAATGTTCATCCTCCAAGAGAAAAACATAAACATAGCTTTCAAGTACACATCCCCTTAGACTCTCCGAGCACGAGCATGGTTAAAAAGTTGAAAGTGCAGAAAAGAACTTGGATAACCATGGATAATATATATATATACATACTATAGTTTACCATACATATTACATCATATTACATCAAATGACTGGTTGTTTGTAGGATTTTGTAGGTGATTGAAGGGTCTAAGTCGACATGCCAGGTATGAACCTAAGCCTGCGGCCCATGTCTGGAGCGCAACATGGCGGCAACTATTTCAGGTTCACCAGCTTGCGATGGAAAAGAATTGTGGGTGGTGCTGGAGTCATGTTTTCTTTAATGCCAAGTTCCAGCCAGCGTGGAACATATTGACATAATTTGACATATTGCAACACATGAGGACCTGCAAGTTGAAATGACACACGAGTAGTAGCTGCTCTAAAACTAGGAGGACTTTTCTGGTTGGTCAAAACTGATCTTTTCTCATTGCTACATAGTTGGTATGATGCTGTAGCCTGAGGTGATCGTTTCTGCTGTGATATCACTCAACGGGGTAGACAAGCACTTGCCTTTTTTTCGCTGAAGCAAGATCTGCGATACATGACACAAACAAATTGTCACACCGATCCGGAAAACAATAATTCTGAACACATTTTCTGGGGGCACCAAGAATCTTTTGGGGGACGTATTTGATGCGGATATTGCACCACAATTGACATGTGGGGATCTCATTTACCACAGGCCTTTCCAAAACGGCACACCCACAGATCCCCACCCGTTAAGCCTCCCATGAGGCTTGCTTGTGCACCTGAGGCAATGACTTCAGACATTGGGGCTGTAGGCAGGGGCTGTTTCCAGCCTAGGTTTTGCGTGTTTCATCTAACATTGGGGATGGGTCACAGCCCCATCAAGGGATCTCCATACCCTAAAAATGGTATTCAGAAAATTTATGAAAACTTATATAATACATAGCCATTTCGCCCCTCTTTTTCCTCTATGAAAAACTGTCCCGTTTAAATATGCGGACGCCACCAGGCCTTGCTGAGGATGCCCCATGACATCTGCACCAAGCCCAACCTGCAGGGGCATCTTGGCGGGTCTGCACAATTTCTGCAGTTCTTGGAAGTGGTTGATGTGTGATGATCGATTTTCTCTAGTGAGCCACAACATGTCGAAAATCTCGAAAACTGATGTGTCATGATTCATTACCCGAACATATCATGCTAGAGAGATATTTTTTTTGGCATTATACACTATGAAGATGGCTGGAATAATGAAAACTAAATATCAAGGGGATGGACGCGTATATGCATATTACATAAATTTACATAATGGATACTGGATACCAATTGAATGCTGTTTTTTTCCTTCTTAGTTTCCACTGACGTAACAAACCTCTTCCGCCAACGCTTCCACAAACCTTGCGCGGATGAAAACGTATCTTCCGCGATCTCATGTCTTCATATATCGCTTCCATCGCTTCCACGAGCTTCCACGTTGGTAGGTTTGGGTGATGTGCTTCCGCGACCTAGGTGTAGAGGATGTTTTTTTTATCTTATGGGAGAATTATTGTGCTTTTTTGTAGCTTCCACGAAACTTCCACGAAACTTTCCTTCCGCGGTGCTTCCACACCCTTCCGCGCGTGCAGCCACACGCACATACTCACCCTGTTATGACTCGACAAATACTACCGAAGACAAGTGACTAAAGATTAAAAAAACGGCTGATCGATTTTGTCTAGTGAGCCACGACATGTCGAAAATTGTCGAAAATTAATGTGTAATGATTTATTACCCAAACATATCATGCTAGAGAGGTGTTTTTTTTTGCATTGTAGAGTATGAAGATGGTTGGAATAATGAAGATAAAATATCAAGGGGATGGATGCGTATATACTAATTACATAGTGGATACCAATTGTTGTTTGATAGTAGTAATTAAACAATCCTAATATTTTGTTGGGTCAATTGGGGCCGAAGGCCATCAAAACTCCAGGTCTCGACTCCAGGTTCGCCCATTCCGATTCGGCCTGGGCCATCTGAGTACAGAATATGTCACCTTACCTGGTAGATCCTGGTAGATTCCAGTGGGCCAGTGGGCAAGAAAATAGGATATTTATATATATATATATATATATTATTGATATTAGGATGATATTAGGATATATATATATATCCTATATGATTATTGCAATCCTTATTGACTTTTGATGATATTAGGTTTGTTTATGTAAATTCTTGTAGAATCATCAAAAGTCCATTCTTAACATCACAACATCAGCTTTGGAACAGCCTAGCCTACCCGCAGGTCCGGGCTGGAACATCCCCCATCGGATGGCCCAAATCTCCCACCTCCTTCGAAGCACCTGCCAAGGGGGTGATGGTCTCGAAGAAACCAGGTTGATCATCAAAAAAGATCCCGGAAAACATCACTTCCTAAGTCCAGGGACATCTCTCAGTCTAAGATATTCAAGTAATATCTCTCATTATTCAAAATACACGCAGGATCTACAAACCACATGAGGCTCAAATCTAAAAATGATAGAGGCAAAGCTACATTATTTAATCAACTGCAAACGAACCATTACGTGGCTTGTATAACGTCTCAAGCACAATTTCTCGCTATCAACTTTGCGCAAATATTAGCGCATACTGTAAAATACTCCAAAATGGACCGAAGCCCCGAAATGCCCCGAAACATGTACGCAAAGGTACGGAGATGAGTCAGGCCTTTCTACGTGAGCCTTGAGTCCGCACCAAGGATGGGAACCATTGGAATAAGTTGAATAAGTCATGTAAGATAGCAACAGGACAAACACAACTGTGATTTGTCTGTTCACATGTATAGATACATATTTGATTAATTGTAATTACATGCACCTACTTATATTATATGCAAAACTATGTTATATATATATATATACGTATGTATATATATATATGTATATGTATATAGATGTATATGTATATATATATGTATATATATATATAGATGTATATGTATATATATATGTAAAACATATTTAATATATATATATACTTATACATACATATCCACATGCATCATATATCATCAGATCTCCTTTTGAGCCGGACGATCTAAGCACCTGCAAGGCCTCGGATCGTAAGTCACAGAAATCTTGGCCGCAAACACCTGGCACATCTGAAAGTGGCTATGAAACCAACCATAACTATGTTTTTCAGGGTACAGAATAATTATGGAATGAATGGAATGTGTATATATAATATAATGAATATATTAATATATAATATATATATAATTATACATATAATATATAATTATATAATTATATAATTATACATATAATGTAATCAACATTAATCGACTCAGTGTTTTAAACTGACTGTGCGTGTATGAAAATGGGGGGATTACCAACAAATTTCGTGGCAAGGCTGACTGTTTCTTTATCGGGCATGATGATCAACCATGCACGTGGTTCTAAGATGTGGATACACGGTACATATTATATATATATATTAAAATATAATATAATATATACTAGACAATATATATATATATATATATGTACTGTTTCTATTATAGGAATGATATTGGATCATACTGGACCTCTTTTGGTTGATACATGATATCCATTTATCTATTTGGATTTAATTGGAACTATACGGCTGCATAGGAGTCTGGTACGCGGTCAAACGCAATGGCCATAGTCCAGTATCTTTTTGTGGTCTATGAACCTGTGACGCCAATGCAAGTATAGACATCATAAAGTAACTGGCGCTGACCAACGGTTTATTAAGCCGATGACAATATCAGAGTGTCTCCATGCAGTGATGAATAGTGAAAGAGAGAGAGAGTGTGTGTACCAATCATGTCCTCTTGGGAAATGTAGAACAAAAACACCAGTTTTGATATAATGATTTATTAATGATTAATGATAACTTGTGATTAATAACCCCCTCATGTGTCAGTTGATTAATCCCTAGGGATTTTATAATCACAACTACAAATTACCGTTCACATCCATCTACCCAGTATGGTTGTTGGGATATTTTTCGATCTCCTTGAAACCGCTCCATCCCTTGCAACGGCAAACACGCCAAGGCGTGGTGCTTTTCAAGAACCACAGCGTGGGCCCAGTCATGTTTGTTGGTTCATAAACCCTATTAACATTAAGTATACAAATGTATACAATAACATACAATAACTATATCCACCATAAACCATTGTTGGAGTTGTACCAACTTCAGTTCCTGAATTCAATCCATTCCCAATTGAAATCGCCCTTTTTGCAGACATCAGGGCATCCGGGCAGTACAAGAACATGATGGCCCGAGCCACAGCCACTGCGGTCCGCCAGGGAAGTTCCTTGACCGCCAAGGTCCGCAGTGTGGCTTTTCCCTAGGAAATTCATCTACAAACGTAGGATTTTCCATGATGTTCATCCAGTGGAGGGTATCAACCATTTTTTCCATAGCTGAAACATCTGTGTCACAGTCATCTATGGGGATCATCCCAAGTTTCCTCCATGTTTTTTCGGTCACAAGAAAACACATACCACAGCATACCAAAACAGAGGCTTTCCAAGCCTGCAGAAACTTGGGATTGTCTGAAAATAAGCCACCCCACATTTTGATGTTTTTTAAACATCATTTTCCAAACATAAACGTTGCAAAAGATTGCCATATGTTGAGGATTTATTATGTAACCGTTTTCAAACTGAAATTATCTTGAGTTGGGAAACAAAAATAAAACCCGCTATATAAATCCATCCAAAGTTGCTTATGTGAATATACAATATATATATATGCGTGTGAGTAGCTGAAGCCCTTAAGAGCCGGTTGCCCCGGTGCGTGCCTCCATGCCTGGTAGCTTTCTTGGTAGCTATCCAGCTTGGGGTGTGTGTGGGCAGAACTTGGGGAAACACAGGTTATGAGCCCAAATGTGGCCATTGCGCGGCTTTGATGCCCGCTGGGAATGCTTCTTGCAGGTGTGGTGAAGCTGGGAGATCTGCGGTGTGCAGGGCCTGTTCGACAAAGAAGTTGGAGGGCGAGTCTTTGCCTCAAAAAGCGGGGGACGCGAGGCGTCTCAGAAAGCGGGGGGCCGATGCAGTTCATCAGCGAGAAGTTTGGCTTTTGAAGTTTGGCGAGGCGCCTAACAGTTGGTGCGGTGGCTCAAGCCCAACGGCCTCTGCCAGGTTGCATACACTACACTCTGCATGCCTGAGCTGCAGAGTGGGGGGAGTGCGTGTGAGTAGCTGAAGCCCTTAAGAGCCGGTTGCCCCGGTGCGTGCCTCCATGCCTGGTAGCTTTCTTGGTAGCTATCCAGCTTGGGGTGTGTGTGGGCAGAACTTGGGGAAACACACACATATATATATATATACAGTACCCATTATAATCACAATATTGTTGGGTACTGTGGCAATTCGGCTATATAACCCCTCCCCAGAAACGCAGAAACGCCCTCCTCTGCCGACGGTGGCAGGGCCAGCAGGGGCTGCCTGGCGATATGACACCATGTGGAAATCATGAGGATATGTATATTTAATATACCCATTGCCCTCCCCCAAATTAACGTAGACCCTGCCAAACAGGGGCTTGGAACATTAGTTGCCACTAGAAATTGGCTAGTGTCAGGGTCTATGTTAATTTGGGATAGGGTAAATATAATATCTACATGTCTGCAATATAATGACTATAATGGTTGGTTAACATACCTGTCTATATATGTATAATATCTACATGTATAAAAGTATCACTCTGTAGTATCCTGATGATTAACATACCCAATTATATAAATATTAATCATAGGATATTCTAGAGGGATATAAGTTTAATGTATGATAACTGTGTCTCAAATGGGGTGTGCTCCCAAAATTGCCAAGAAATTGATGATTAACCATGATAAACCCATGTAATGAGGTGTAACCTATTTTCAAACAACCTCAAGTGGCTTTCCTCATGGCAGTTGAAGGGACAACTATGTGGCCAACTTTCAACCTGGGGATGTAACCCCATTGTTACTAATCCGAAACAATGGGTATCTGATTTCTAGGTACGAGCGACCTGCTAGAATTAACAGAATGCAGGCTGCAACTGACATGTTTGTAAGAAATTCATCCAATGTGGACACCCTCAGCAATATATGCTCACTCAGGCCATCCAAGATGTACCGTGAATATCAGAATAACCAACAATACCCATAGGATCCATGTATGCTATATATGGTGACATTTACCATCAATATACCCCAAATGTTAGCATATATACCATACATGGATTGTTTCCACATGATTTTAAATGTGGCCCCCCCCCAGTTGGTTTAGTTGGTTTATACACCCCATTGCCTCGCCTCCTGGACAGATAGGCACGAGAAATGGCACACATGGAACCTGGGATTGACGAACGGTGGTTTTATTAATGGGTAATTTGCATGGGATATTATGATATGTTGGTTTAATGGGTGTTTACATGGAATGTTGTATGTATGAATTATGATATGCTATGGGATATAACTGATAGAACCAACTTAAGAAGAGAATTGGGGTTGAAAATGGAGGTATGTGCACCCATTTTACAGCCATCTGATGGGATATAGAATTATTCACCAGGGCAGTTGGGGTACCCCATCTTCAGTTAAACCCATACTATCAACCACAAATTAAAAAACATAAGCTATATAATGGATAATGTCTACAGGATTATACCATATATATATATATATAGCCCATACTATCTATAGGTTTATACTATGCAGCATAGATGATTTATACTACTAATGAAGCAAGCAGTTGTATGCATTTGTAATATATGTCATCCCTTTATGCTATCATCCCATCTGTGATCCTTTTTAGACGATGCACGTGTGGTTGTGAAATGTTTCGAAATCAGAGAGCCCTATTGATCCACTATCACTTGCATTGTGATAGTGTATGTATGCATTGGTTGGGGATTATTTTCTGCTTGCCAGAGACATTCACGTGACATTATATTGTTGAACACCTTTGTTTTGCAAAAGGACATCCAGTGTATCAAGACAATATATGACAGTATAATACAATATGTATATATATATATATGTAATATATGTATAAATATACATGTAATTATAAAAGGAAATGCAATATATACCTTGACACTCAGTTGACCCAGAGAAATAGATGCTTACCTCATAGTTCGGAACTTGGAACTGACAATGGACAAGCCATATATCGTACGTTTTTGAAAAGTGGTGGTACCCATGGTATCCAAAATGTTTCATGAAGTAGACAAATGATTCAGAAAATCAAAAAAACATATATGGGGGTCCGAAGTTCTGCAAGTTTGACCACCCAACTGCTCTCTTGGCTTCCATTTTTTTGTCCACCTCGTTCATTGCTTCTTTGCGTCTATGCGCTTGTTTTACAAGGCCAGTCGCCAACGAGGAACGACAAGCTATGCCTGCCATGCGCCTTGAAACCGGTCAGATAGAAAGTGACGTGATTTTGGAACAGGATTGATTTGCAGGACAACTACATGTTGATCGAACATTTTAATGTGTTTTCCTTCTGCCAACGCAAAGAGTCATCTCCGTACTCTACATCTTTCGTGGTTCGGCCATGTTTGTGTTTTACTTTGACCATTTTTGGAGGTTTCGTAAATTGGGGTACCCCCAAATCATGTAAAACTCGACCAAACGTTCGTCTAAAAGTGGGGATCCCCTTTTTCACTAAGGGAAGCTCCATCTGTTGCATCTGAATTCCTCAGGTCTTTCCTTTGGCCAGACCTCCAAACCTCGGTGATACGGTGGAGAAATCCACCAGTTGATGGGCAAAATCCCATTTTTTATAGGGTTTTAACATGTTTTAACCATCCAAGGATCCCAGGAATTTAAGGTAGAGGATTTTTTCCACAGTATGGATAAGAAATATATAGAAATAGGGGAATCTACTTGGAATTTCACTATCAAACCAATGGGGATATATCAACCATCATAGAATCATAGGGATATGGTTGATATAATAGGGCTTTGACGGGAATATACCTCGGGTGTCATCAAACGTGGCTAGCCAGGAAATCTCCGAAAATCATGGCAGCAAGCCACGGTTGATTACTGGAGGCTATTGCCAATGGGGGGGAGGGCTGTTCACCAGGAAATGAAGATCTGCTTGGTGGAGGCACTAAACCCATTCGAATATGGAGAAGTCTGGATCATCCCATTTCGAAGGCTAGCGAAACAAATTTGAAAGCACCAATCCGTCTACTTGTCACAGGGATTCCTTTCACTTCTGGAGATCCCCAGTCGTCACCATGGTTGTTTCAATACTAAAATGATGAAAATCAGTACCCACATGACCCGAAAAACCGATAAATCACAGTCATTTGGATTGAGGGAATAGCTCTTCACCTTGAAGGAATAACAGGCTGAGGACTTGACAGTCTTGCCCAGTTAACCCCCATGAAATATCCAGGTTTCCTAATTTATGAGGCTACCCCCAAATCAACCAAACTATGACTTAGTATTGAAACAATGGTGACTTGGGGATCCATCATTTAAAGAACCCCCCACGTGCAAAAAAAACACTATTACTTTTAATCACTCTTAAACATCAATGAATTGTCATCAACACCCCTTCAATCCCCATTAAGGTGCCCAAAAGCCTAACATGAAAGACTGCGGATTATTTTTGGGATTATCATGGGATTCACGTAAAACAATGTCATACTTTTACCACCTATTAGTGTTAATCCATTCCCGACATAAAAATGGTGAAACATCCCTGGTGAAACCGACATGGCATGATTCGTTTTACTGGGGATTGTATTTTTTTTTGGTGTTTTACCATCTGGTTATGTAACATAGCCATGGAAAATCACCGTGTTTAATAAAGTTTAATAGGTATTTAATAGGTAAGCCAACTATTTCTATGGGCCATCGAAAAACCATGGCTATGTTGAATAAACAAAGGGTACCATGTTTACCAACAAATCAACTGCCAAGTGCCTCACCTGGATTCACTGGGCTCAGGTGGCATCCGGCCAAAGCTGAAGCCCACGGCCGGGCAGTGCTGCCTGGACTCCGCTTGGTTTGTCGTTTTTGGGGTTGATGGGGCGCCGCTTCATGTACCCAAAAATATGGAAAACCTGTGGAAAACATCATGATTTAAGCCGGAAACCTGATCAGACATCCGGGTTTAACAGATTTATTGAACTGATTTCATATACCAAACATAGGGAAAAATGATGATTTAAACCACAATAAAAGAGGATTTAGCTGATGCAAGCCAAGAATAAAAGTGGATTGAAACCACAATCTTAACAATCCGTGGATTAGTTCTCCATGGGCAATCTACAGAAAAATGTGGTTTTGTTACCCCCAAATTGACTGGGCTTTCCTCCAGATTTTGACCTAGAACCAATTCTAGGAACCCACGGACCACGGACCCATACTTGTTGTTTTTAGTATGTTTAAGCATCCGTTTTTGACTTTATTCTCAGAGTGGTCCAAAACTCCAGAATCCTGCTCTAAAAACATCAAACAACTGTTGGTTTTGGATCTTCATGCCCTTAAAATCAAGTGTAAAATCAATTACAATCATAGGTAACCTGGGTCCCATGGGTCCATGGGTCCCATCCCCAGATTGGGCCCCAGGGCCCCATCCCGATGAGTGGCAAAAGATTAACGCATATGAGCCCGGTCGGAAAAACCATGCACCAACAGTTTATTAGATTGATGCGGGCCACCGATTCTACATTCTACATCGTTTTACGTCAACTTCAGTGCAATGTGGTACATCTCTGATTAATCCCAGATTCAGGTGTTCAATCATGATGCTACAAAGTCTTTCGTGACACACTGTATTTATCCGACCTATTGACATGGTATTAAACACTACCACAATCTACCACATATCAAAGCATGAACACACAATTCATCCCAAACATGGATTGTGAAAACCCCTGTGGCCCCTACAAATGATGCTCAAATCATCTTAATGTTGGTAAAGCAATAGATAGCAATAGTAAACCATCCCCAAAATCACAAGTTTTCTGGTATAAACCATCAACATATGGATGGTTTATGATATTACTCATCTAAAAACTCATGAAATATCACACAATGTCCAATCTACATGGTCATATCATGCCGTTTTTTAGGATAATCTATGTGAAACCGGGGGAAATCCCTCTCCACCCGGAAGATCATAGGATCCAAGGCGCCAATGTGGATCCCAGAGGTCAGG